GGCTGCCAGGCCTGGGCCAGGAGAGCCCACTGTGACAGGGCGGGGGGTTCTGGGCCAGCCCGTAGAGCCTGGGGTGAAGCTAGGCGCGGGACCCACCCTCCTCTCTCTCCCCCACACAGTATATCCACTCGGCTGGCGTCATCCACAGGGTGAGTGCTGCCTCCACCGGGGTCCCGCCCACCCCGGAGGGTGCTCCACAGCCAGGGAGGGGGGGAAATGGAGGGAGGGCACAGTCCTTCGGGACATCGGGGATCTGACGTGAATTTTTCAGACCCAGCTGTGTTCTGGGAAACTTGGGAAAAGCTGCAAAGCGAGCCCTGAGCTGGTGGGGCCTGTAGGACACCGTCCGGCCCTCATGTACAATGAGGAGAGGGACCCCCGGCGAGGGGTGGGGGGGTGAGGTTGTATGCTGGGAGGTGGCCAGGCAGGGACAAGCTCCCATCTCTGCCTCTCTGCCTGCTGCTCCCTCTCTCTCCTCTAGGACCTGAAGCCGGGCAACCTCGCCGTGAACGAGGACTGTGAGCTGAAGGTGAGTGGCCCAGGCAGGGTCAGCCGGGGTAGGGTGGGCCCCTCTCCCACAGCAGCCCCCCCGAAGCCACTCCAAGAGCCTCCTCTCCTCAGCAAGCTCCTCCCCATGTCCCCCGAGTCATAGATCTTGGATTTTGGGCTGGCACGGCATGCGGACGCCGAGATGACTGGCTACGTGGTGACCCGCTGGTATCGGGCCCCCGAGGTGATCCTCAGCTGGATGCACTACAACCAGACTGGTCAGTGGTCGGCTGCCGGGAGGCCTGAGGCTAGGGCTGGGGTGGGGGCTCGGGGTCCTCTCTGGCAGCTCCCCGAAGGCCATCTTGGTGTCTCCGGGTTGACTGCCCGCTGGGCCGTGGTCAGCGGTCCAGGTGACACTTCCTCCCCTCCCTTGGCAGTGGACATCTGGTCCGTGGGCTGCATCATGGCTGAGATGCTGACGGGGAAGACGCTGTTCAAGGGGAAAGATTGTATCCTTTGCTGGGAAAGAGAATTCATCCAGGGATTCATCCCTTCCACAGACACTTTCTTACTTAGATCTTTTTTCTCAGTGTGGAAGCCCTAGGTGCCCACGGTGCAGTGAGCAGAACGATGGAACGTAGCCACCGGTCACTGCACCACGATGGGGGACATGCTTCACGTTCTGGCACGCCCGCTGACTGAGTGCGTGTGCGTGTGTGTGCGTGTGTGTGCGTGTGCGTGTACACCGTGCAGGCGTTGCCGAGCTGCGGGTCCGCCCTGCCCAGCTTGGAGCATGAGGGTGGGGAGACTGGGGAGCCGGCAAGGGCGATGCAGGGGGCTGTGGGCCCGCGGCAGCACCCCCGGGAGCGTGTGTGGGAGGGACCCTCACCTGGCCCCCCAGGGAAGCCTTCCAGAGACCCGAGTCCTGAGGGACGGACCTTCCCCGAAGCAGGCGGGAGTTAGGCGCCTGGAGCCTGGGTGGTCGCCGCGGGGCCTGGGGGCGATTGAGGGCCGGAGGGAAGGGCAGCTGTGGACCCGTCGGCAGAGACCGAGGCGGAGCCTTAACCTGCCGCCCAGACCTGGACCAGCTGACCCAGATCCTGAAGGTGACCGGGGTGCCAGGTGCAGAGTTTGTGCAGAAGCTGAATGACAAAGCGGTGAGTGGCAAGGCCTGGGCTGACGGGGCAGGCGGGCCGCAGGCCTTTGGGCGGGGGGCTTACCTGAGCCCCTCTGCCTCGGCAGGTGCTTTGGCCTTCACCCACTTTGGACTGACTGAGCCTTCAGGAATCCCTGCTCTACACCCCAAGGCCGAGCCCCAAGGGGCTGACAGTTGGAGATTAGTCAGTGCTTTTCTGTTTTCCAGGCCAAAGCCTATATCCAGTCCCTGCCACAGAGCCCCAAGAAGGACTTCTCTCAGCTCTTCCCCCGCGCCAGCCCCCAGGGTGAGTCTCGGGCCTGGGCCTCTGCATTCTGCCCCGGTGGGTGGTCCGGCTCTCCCAGGCCCGGGTGTGAGGCCCATGCTCTTACTGCAGCCGTGGACCTGCTGGAGAAGATTCTGGAGCTGGACGTGGACAAGCGCCTGACGGCCTCGCAGGCCCTGGCCCACCCCTTCTTTGAACCCTTCCGGGACCCTGAGGAGGAGACAGAGGCCCAGAAATTTGACGATTCCTTAGAACATGAGAAACTCACAGTGGACGAATGGAAGCGTAAGCTGGGCCTCGGGCTCCTTCCTTCCGTCTCTGCCGCAGCTCCCTGTCTCTGCCTCCTTTGCTCCCATGCCCGGCCCCGGGCCCTCCGCCCTCCTGGACACTAGGCTTCCTTCCCTCTGCTCAGATACTGTCTCCTGTGTGCACTTCTTCCTCCCGGGGCTGACTTACTCCATGCTGTCCCTGTGGGGACAGGGGCCGGGCTCTTTCTTGCCCTCAGCACCCCTACCCACCTCGAGCCCCCTGCCTTTCCCAGAGCACATCTACAAGGAGATTGTGAACTTCAGCCCCATTGCCCGGAAGGACTCACGACGCCGGAGTGGCATGAAGCTGTGATGACTCGTCCAGCAGATCCCTGGCTGAGTCCAGGGACCACCATGGGACACCCCCTGCCAGACACAGCCCCAGAACCAGTATTTATTTGTCACTACTGAACCCTTCCTGGATTATAACCTTCCAAGCAGAGGACAGAGGGCCCTGTCCTTGTGCAGGAAACAGGCCCAGTAGATGCAGAATTCAAAGATGCTGGCTGGGAGGAAATAGCAGTGACCATCCCCGGCCACATTAAATACCTGTCTGGAGAATCGCCTGTGCGTGGGGTCCTTTCCTGCTCAGCTGTAGTGGGGCCGAGAGGGGTGGGCTGAGCTGGGGGAGGGGTCTCCGTCAATGATGGTGTATTGGTTTGCTAAGGCTGCCGAAACAATTGACCACACCTGGGTGGCTTAAAACCACAGAAATTCATGCTGCCACGATTCTGGAGGCCAGAAGTCTGAAATCAAGGCATCTGCAGGGCCACCCTCCCTAGAGAAGAAGCCGTCCTCACCTCTTCGCAGCTTCTGGTGGCTCCAGGAATCTTCGGTGTCCTTGGCTCGTAGCTGCTCAGTCCACTTTCTGCCTCTGTCTGCGCAGGGCCTTCTCCCCTGTGTGTGTCTGTCTTACAAGAAGAGCAGCTACTAAATGTAGGGGCCGCCCTAATCCAGTATGATCGCATCTCAGTCCTTACTCATTGTATCTGCAAAGACCCTATTTCCAAATAAGGTTACTTCCTGAGGTTCCGGGTAGACATGGCTTTTTGGGGAACATTCATCAGCCCACTCGAGATGTCCACAACGGAGGGCCCTTTCCGGGCCGGTGCTCCGTTTCGGCGCCAAGCATGCTCAGCCACTAAAATAAGACAGTCGTGGAGGGAGCTGCAGCTGGTGAGACACAGCATGCAGGTTATTTTGGGTGTTAAGCAATCAAGATATGAGACAACAGCAGCCCGTTGACTGGGAGCTGCAGAGGCAGACTCGGGCTTTTTCCAGGCTCTACAGAAAGCTGTTCTGCTCTTGCCCCGTTGGGAATGGTTGTCCATTTCTGCTGAGATTTAACCTGACAATGGCTGGGATCCTACTGTCTAGGTTTGAAAAACCGGTAGGACCAATTCCCATGCACAGAGTCAGGGGCCTGCCCCGTAGTTCTTGGCCCCCACCCAGTGGGCCTCAAACTTTCCTGTGCGCCAGGGACCTGGTTCAAATGTACCTTCCTGGGCCCACCCCAGGGGTTTGGATTTAGCAGGTCTGGGGTTGAGACCCTAGAATGTCTGCATGAGGACCCCCTTCCCTCACCCCGAGCCCAGTGGTTCCGAGAGAGATCAGGCCATGTTTAGAGAAACGTAGCTGATTTCTGTACCACCTAATTCATCAGGAGGCCTAAGTGGGACCCTGCAGAGGGAGACTGAGGGGCTTGGATGAGCTTCACACTCTCACCTCAGAGATGCTAAAACTGGGGCTCAGATGGCAGTTTTAGGGCGGTGAAACTATTCTGTATGGTACTGTAAGGCTGGGTACCTGACAGTGTACATTTGTCTCAATCCATAGGCTGTGTAACACAGAGTGAACCGTAATGTAAACCATGGACTTTAGTTAATAATAAGGGACCGATGCTAGTTGGTCAATTGTAACAAACGCAGCACACTCACGGGAGATGTTACCGGGAACTGGGATGGGACGGAGTATAGGGAACCTTCTGTACTTTGGGCACAGTTTTTCCATAAACCTAAAACTGCTCTAAAAAATAATGTCTTTTTTTTTTAAGCTTCAAATTATGTCTTTAAATAAAAAGAAAAGAATAAAGAATGAGCCACACTGCCCTCCCCTGGGAGGCTCAGCCAGAGGCCCACGGCTGGGAAGCGGTGGGCTGGGGATTTGAACCAGAACAGCCTTGAGCACCGAGCCACAGGCCCTGGAACCACATGCGTGGGCTCGGGGTTTGAACCAGAACAGTCTTGAGCACCGAGCCACAGGCCCTGAACCGCACCTGGCTTCCAGGACCCCCCGGCCTTCCTCCCTTCCAGCCCCTCTCCAAGCTCCCATGTTGGTGGGTTTGTTTTCTCTCCCAGAGCGGCCCTGCCGTCAACCAGGGAGGAGGAGATGGTGGGAGGGGCTGGCTGTGTCCTGCCCCAGCCCTGACCTTGCTGGTTACTAAACTGCCCCAGGTCCCCTGAGTCTAAACCCCTCAGTTGATTGCCTTCTGAGAATCCTCCGGCCCCAGAGAGAAAGCCCAGCCTCCGAGTCCTGGCGTTCGAAGGCCCCTGCGTTCTCTGACCTCACCAACTCTCCTGCCTCCCGTTGTCCCTATGCCCTAGCCCCCCGGGGAGCAGGAGTCCCGGGGTACACCACCACTCACCCTGCCCATGAGCAGGTTCAAGGCTCTGACGAGGCCTCCAGTAAATGCTCAGCATTGTTTAATCCAGACTTCCTGAATGCCCTTAGCCACAGGCCCCCCTTTCTCCTGACAGCCTGCACACGCAGAGCGGAGCACAGGCCAGTGCGCAGGGCCCCGTACCCTGGGCTCCTCTCAGAGCCTCTGCACAGGGGCCCTTCACCCCCCTCGCTTCTCAGGACTTAGCCTCAGGCCTCCCTCCAAGAGGTCATTTTCCAATCGCCCCTCCGCCCAGGCCCTCTGTGCCAGCATGCACGGTGCACAACATCTGTCTCCTCTCCCCAGTGCCCACTGGGAGCCCCTGCTGGGAACAGATGTCTGTGAGTGAGTGAATGAATGAATGATGTCCTGCAGGCTGTTGGTCATTTCTCTGCCCCAACCAGAATAGCATGGTGTTAGGAGCAGCCGAGAACCCAGCAGGAAGCAGAAGTGGTGGCCCAGCCTGCACCTTGGTCGCTCCCCTGACGACCTCTAGGCTCTGGGGCTCCCAGGCCTCTCCCCATCATCACTGTGTCCTCAGGTCCATCCCAGGATTAAACTTCTGTGGTTGCTTCAGCCCCTTCCCTATACTTCCCTCAAACCTGAGAAGTTTCTCGGAAGGGAAGGGAGGGTGCTGAGCAGTGGGACAGGGGCCATGGATCCCAGCCTTACCCTGTGGGCATGTGGCCAGAGTGACAGGAAACAAGTCCATCCTCAGGCTGGGTGGGGGCAGGAGGGCTGAGCTTGGGCTGGGCTCAGGTGACCTCACAGCTGGCCTGTGGGATCTCGGGCAGGTCTTGTGCCCCAGCCCCTGTGGCCGGTTTGGCAGCTCGAACGGTCTTCACAGAGAAGAGGAAGCCAGCCCGAGGGACTGGGGACAATTCAGTAACAGCCACTGTGGCCTCGACTCCCACCTTAGTAAAATGAAGGGTGTCCTGCATCACGGCTCAGCTCCTCTCCCAGGCAGCTGGGGCCTGGCCATCTGGGTCACCCAGGGCAGGACTTGCCTGGTGGGTGCTGGGGGTGGCACTGCCCTCGGGCAGTGCATGGAGAGGCAGAGAGGATCTGCCCTCACAGCAGAGAGCCCAGTGTGCAGATGCCAGCTTTCTCCTGGCACATGAAGCAGCGTGGGCAGTTTTTCCCCGGCCCCAGCAGTGCTATAGCCACAGCTGAGGAGGAAGGAATCCCACCCCTCCCCAATCTTGGCTTTTGTGTTCTTAAATTTTGTTGAAACAACCCCCTGAGAGCCACCGCAGGGTGCTCCCCTCCTTTTATCCCACAGTGAGCTGGGGCTCTACCCTCATTCACCCCAAGCCCCTGCGACCTAAGCCGAGGCGGCTGACTTCCCCCTTTTCCGGGATGGCCAGCCGAGGCCCATGGGCACTGAGCTAACTGCAGCGCTTAGGAAGCCGTCCGGTCCA